TCTAGATTGAAATTATTTTCTTTGAACACTTTCCACCTCTTCCTCCATCGTGTTCTTGCAGCTTGTTCCTCATGTCTTCTAAGAGATTCACTTGACCTGATGTTTTCACATCCCCATTTATTCTGCACATGAATGCATTATTAGTCCCATTAAATTTTTTTCATCGCAAGTTAATTCTTTGTCATTATTATTATTATTATTATTATTTTTGCATTCTGATATTCTCTTTATCTCTCTGCACATATTTACTAGGCTCATTTTTTAATCTAATCCTCGTGGCCAGTACTATGTTGCCTTTCTGTAACAGTTTCCCTGGAAGCTCCTGGGGCGTGCGGTTATCATCCATCTTCACTTGTGCTGGAGCACAGGCTCTGGTGGGTGCTCCTCCAGATGAGTGGCGGGGAAGGGTCCTCAAGCTGGAGAGCCTTGGATGTTGTCATTTGGCCTCTAGAAGTTCCCCGCCTGCTCCCCTCCGCACAGCTGGATTATCTCCTGAGGGCTGCTCCCAGATCCTCTCTTCTAGAAAGTCCTTGTTTCCTGTAGGGACTGCCCCGCTCTGGTGTAACTACCAAGCTCCCCGGTGTGTTTGGGAAAGGAGGGAAGTGGTGCTCGTGGTGACTGCTGCCCCACCCAGCTGTGCTCCAGCACCACCTGACGTTCTCCAGCTGGCACAGGGTCGGGGCTGGGGGATGATAGGGAAGGCAGGCTATGCTGGAGCCATGCTAGAGAGACGAAAGGCAGGACCAGACGCCCTACCCCAGGCCCTCTCCGTCGGTCTCACCCATTGCCACCTCCTTCCCCTGGGGATCTCCAGGTGGGTGTAAGGACAGGACACTGAGGCTGTGCACTGTCTTGCCCCTCTTGTTGATTATTCTTAAATTCGGTTTCATTTCTGCCATTAGACCTGACTCCAGAGGAACCACCCCTTCCAGTCATTGGCTCAGTCTTGTTCTCAGGGCCTTCCTTGACTGTAGCACACGGTTAAGGCTCCTGGTATCTTTCATGCAGCAGCAGTCCAGACAGATGACCACATGGCCATTCCTGCTCTTTTGAACTGGCAGCAAACAAACCAACCCATTATCTTATCCTCCTGATCCAGGGGCTAGAAGGACCCTCCTGTCTGCTACCAGAGAGGTTGGCAGAATCAGGGCCTAGTAAGTGTGCTGTTACATACTGTGATCTGACTTTTCTTAGATACCATTTAAGAAAAAAAAATAGGACTCTATCCCAGCATAATCCTATTAATTGAGGCTTGCGAGCAATCATATCGATTCCTATTGAATTACAGAGTTTCCGAATTGAATTTATGTCTCCTTTAGTTGAGTTCTTCCTGAAACCATAGTGTGCTAAAACGGAAAATGGAACATTTCATATTCTAAATCAGGGGCCAGAAAATGACCTGTCAGCCCAACCTGGCCTGTTTTTTAAGTAAAGTTTTATTGGGACTCCCCCACGCTCACTCATGTATGTGCTGTCTTCGGCAGCTGTAGTGCTGCAAAGACAGAGGTGAGTAGTTGAGACTGCGTGGCTCACAAAGCCTAACATATTTCTATCTCACCCTTTAGGAAAAGTTTTGTCCACTTGTTTTAAAATGTACCCAGGATCCGTTTTAATCAGGTGTCATAAGACACGCAAACACAGAAATTACTGTCATGAAGGTGGAAACAGGAGGCCAAGGGCAGCATGCAGGGCCACATTGGGAGGCGCGGGTCGTGCGGAGGTAGGAGTGAGGGGAAGCACGGACCAAAGCCTTTGTGATGGTTTCTATGGGAAGGCGGCAGGGCAGGGGGAGCAGCCCCTACCCCAGCTAGTGTGCATCACTGCAGCCAGCTCAGGGGCAAAGGGCCTGTCTCCGGCTGCCTGATACCTGGCCTGAAGTGCTTAGGGCAAAGGCATGTTGCCTCCTGGAGAGTAAGAGCCAGCTGGAGAGGGTGGTTGGGAGCGTAGATTCTGGATTGGCGGCTCCGCATAGGAGAGGCATGCTGCCGGGCAAGGCCTTTGCCATCTCTAACATCACTTCACCCCGGAGGGGCAGCCTCTCCCCAGTCAGGGAGGTCCCAGATGCCAGAGCAACAAAAACTAAGAAAACAACAAAATGCAGGGCCAGGTGCGGTGGCTCATTCCTGTAATCCTCGCTGAGCCCAAGTGTTCGAGACCAGACTGGGCAACACAGCAAGACCCCATCTCTGTAAAAATTAAAAATAAAAGGAAAATAAATGAAAAAAGAATTTATAGTTAATACATCTCCCCTTTGTCAGTGGCAGGGAAATTCTGTACATTCTTATACTATGTTTTGTTTTGTTCTTTAATCTTTCTGTGTTTTTCTGAGACATAACTTTGATCATGATAATTCTTGTAAAACATTTTATTTATACATCCAAAAGCAGAATCACTGAGTTCACATTTAAAGAATCAGTATGTGAGTGTGTGTGTTTGTGACTCTGTGTGTGTGTGAGAGAGAGATGATACATGTGCATTCTTGGGGTGTCACGGGAAATGTTAGAATTAGGAGCATATATTTCTCATTATATGATCTTCAACACAATCTATTAATATTTTTAGTTCAAAAATACTTTTTTCCTTTAGACTCCAAATATTTCATGTTTAGAACTGCAGAATAGCATCCTGTTGTCCTAGGAATCACCATGTTTCCAAGGCCCTTGAAGTGTCTCATGTCGGTGCTGATTGATGGGCCGGGAGGAGCATGGGTGCCCCTGACCAGCAGGTGCCCACTGTTGAGAGCAGCCTCGAGATTGTCTGTCCCACCAACTGCGGGTGCACATAACACCTCAGTTCTCTAATGCCTGATGTCCCTCTCCATCAGGTCCCCAAAAATGGGGCAGTTCCTTCTTTCCCAGATGCAAAAAGGTAGTATGTGGCAAGATGAGTGGCCTCAGCATGGCTTGCACGAGGTAGAAAGACACAAGCCTCCGCTGCTTCTGCACTCAAGTACCTGAACCAGTGTGGGAAGCCATGGGCCGCCCCCACCCCCCAAGCTGGGCCCACACACTCCCTCTCTCTTCTTTCTAACTGCCTGTGTGGCTTAACTTCTCTTTTTACCTTTCCTCAAAATACGAAGAACTTAATCCTGTTGGTCTCAGAGTGAAACTGAAGGTGAATCTAAACCACCCATTGTGAAATATAGTCTGTCTCTGTGACTCTGTATTCATTGTAATGGGAAAATACATGAACTTTCTGGGAACTCGCTTTGGGTTTGAAACTAACTTGCCACAGGATCGAAAGCCGATGCTTTTTAGTCTGTTTTAACAAAACTCCATGAATGCCATTTCTGTCCAATGCTCTTGCAAGTGGGGAAGGAGGATGCTGCTGTTCCGGGTGAAGGCTGGGGCTGGGTTTTCCGTGTGACCGTGGTGTGCTGGTCAGCGTGGACCTCAGGGGGCATTGCAGGAGCGCAGACCTCACTAGTGGTCAGGCTGAACTGGAGGACAGTGGGAGTCCTTGGGACCTCAGGGAATAGCCTCAGGCATTTGCCACAGGGCTTAGACAATCTTTATTTAGACTTAATTTAGGCAACACAGGCAGCAGGTTTTTGAATAAAACACCAGAGACCATGCTTTCCTGAGAAAAATGAAAGATCTACCGCCTTGCTAAAAAGACTTCTCCTTACTGAAAACACTGACTATGAAAAAAGATAACCTATTCCTAACATATATTTAAGCATTCTTGTTTTATGTGCAATGTTAGTCATTAGAACACAGGGCTTAGAAAAACAAGGGTGCTTTTGCAGCACCAAGAGGATACATCTCCTTTCTAGGTAATCGACTTCCTAACATGGTAACATATTGTACCTTAGAGAAATCCCACACTGCATTTCTCATTCCCTGGCTGAAAAGCCCAAGAAGAATAAAGCCAGAGGAGAGCATTACTTTCTAGAGTGCTGTGGCAAAAGAATAGCCAGACCGAAGAGAAACACATGGACTGACTTAATATTGTGTGTCCTGGGAGGGCCACGTAGGAGGCATTTATCAGCGTAACTTTAGTAAAACAACCTGTCTTAAAACCTGAGCCGCTGTGGATGCCTGAGATTGTTTCTTTGCATTAAGTGCATAAAGGCATCGAGACAAAGAGCGGTTTCCCTTGTACCATTTAGTCCTGGGAGAGGACAGCTCAGTGGAATCGAGTTAGAGATCACTGCAGACCCAAGAGCAAGCCTGGTGCTCTTTGACAGTGCTGATGTGCAGCTGTACCGTGGGCTCGCAGCTCCCCACTTACTAAGTGCTTTCCTGACTCTTGTGGATCAGTGCCACGTAGCAGGTGATGGTGACTAATCCAGCAGCAGGAAGGCCTGCGGGATAGAACAGGCTTGTAGGATAGAAGGGCTGGTACAGAGAGAACATGGGTGCACATGTGTATGTGTGTGCACACATGTATGTGTACATGTGTGTGTGCATATCATTTGTGCATGTTGTACATGTATGTGCACTGTGTGTCCTGTGTATTTGTGCTGTGTGTATGTAGTATGTGCAAATACATCTATATGTGTACATGTATATAGTATGTATACAGTCTGTACTGTATGTACATGGGCATGTGTGTATGTGTGTAGTATATGTGCCTAGTATCTGTATGTGTGTGTGCATGCATGTATGCATATGCTATGTAGTATATGTGCATGTATGTATGCAAGTGGATGTGCAGTGTATATGTGTCTAGTGTATGCATGCATATGTTCCTGTGTATACTTTTGTATTCATGTGTGTGCATTTATGTGTATGTGTGCAGTATGTGTATGCACATGTATATCTCTGCTTATAAGTGTGTGCACATGTCGTATATATGTGTGAGCATGTATGGTGTGTTCATATGTGTGCACATGTGTCTTGGTGTGTGTTGTGTGGTATGTGCATGTGTGTGGCATGTGTCCATGAATGTGTACCTGTGTGTGTGTATTGTGTGTGCACAGTATGTGTTTATGTACACACAGAGCCACAGCTACACACATTCAGCCCTCGTGGCTATCTTTCCTTCTCCCCCTGCAGAAAAGCGACTTTCCCGGGGGATTTCCCACGCCAGCTCAGCCATCGTCTCCCTGGCCCGGTCCCACGTGGCAAGTGAATGCAACAACGAGCAGTTCCCCCTGGAGATGCCAATCTACACATTCCAGTTGCCAGACCTGAGCGTGTACAGTGAGGATTTCAGGAGCTTCATCGAGCGGGACTTGATTGAGCAGGCAACGATGGTGGCTTTGGAGCAGGCAGGTGAGTTGCCCCTGCCGGCAGGCCCGCGCCCTTTAGGCTTGGTGAATGGTGAGCTGGCCTAACCTACTCTATGAGCAAGAGAAGGGCACATGTTCTCAGACGCTGGGCAGTTTTCAATTAGGATTCTAGATGCTGCACCGCACCTGCTGCTCTACGGGCCGACAGTGTTCTCGCCAGCATGGGCTGGATAGAGGGGCCGATAACCAGGTGGTGCTGAAATCTCTCGAGTTTTTCCCCTTGCTCCTAAATCCCAGTCCTCCTCTAAGGAGAACCCTATGCTTCTTTGCCTTGCTTCTCTCTGTCCCCAGACAACTCCTACGTGGGTGTTGAACGAAAGATAGGAAAGACCATGGGCTTTAGAGAAAACAGGAGACCCGCCACTTCCTGTGGACCTGGGCAAGTCAGGTGATCTCTCTGAGCCTCAGTTTCCCAATCTGCAAAGATGAGGAGACTGCTGACCCGGCAACACTTTGGGGCACTAACTGACGTGTTCCTTCCTTAGCTGTCGGTTCCCTGCCTGCACTGCCTCTTCCAGCTTCCAGGTTAAGGAAGCATGAAACTTGACCGCAGTCTTCTTTCTCCTTAATGTTTCCTCACCACCTTAACATCCCAATGAAGAAAGCATTCAAGAAGCAAGACAAACTCTCTTCTTTGGAATGTTTAAGGAGAAAATAATGAGTCCAAAACAAAAGTCTAAAACAGATTTAGGTTCTTCCTGAGACAAAGCAATGCCAATTTCACTCACGATCATTCACATTATAAACATTGCAAAATCACATATCTAGGGGTTTCTGAGGCATGCATGTGGAAGACGTTACAGCTGTCTCCTCAGGCCCACCACGCTGCTTCCAGTGGGGGCCCTGCCTGCCTGCACGGGCTGATGGAGCATGTCCTCAGTCAGTGGGAAGCCCTGCTCCTGCTGGGGTGGGGAAGCATCTCCTTCCAGTGCTGACCCAGCCTTCAGCCAGCTCTTCATGTCTACTGTGGAGTGGAGCCTCCACTTCCAAGGCTTGGTCCATGGAGACGTCCCCAGATGTGTCATCCCAGGAATTTAGGGCTGCAGCCAGCAATGTGCTGTTAGGGAGTAGAGCTTCTCTCGGCCCTCAGCCAAGACCCAATAAAATTACTAAGCACTTTCTAGAGTTTCAGAAGAAGACAGAAGAGAAGTACCTGTAGGTTGGTATGATTCTGATATTGGTGGATGGACCAATCAGGACCCTGGTAGGAAAGAAAAGGCAGCACAAAACTGTGAGATAAAAGGACTCCATAAAGGGACTGCTTTCCAAGGAGTGGGCAGGATTTAAGGACACCAGTGAAATATACTACTATTCCTGGGACTACTATCCGACCTGGCGAAAAGACAAGGGATGAGAGTGGCTGATGGAGGTAGCCACTGGCAGGAGGTGTGGCGTCTGGGAGAGAGAAGATGCTGGGGAAATAAATACTCTGACCACACTCTTCTTCCACCATCCAGGTTCTGACCAGTGCTTCTTAATGGCAGAAGGGCAGACTGCAGGGAGCTCACTGATGTGATCCACACAGGTCACCCTCTGCATACACAGCAGCGTGGAGAAGGATAGACAGTAGATCTGTGGGGCCAATGGGAAACATCTAGAAAGTCAATGTGCCGGGAAGTTTTACCAGACCTGGCTTCTGTGTACACGTGTACACCTGCTTTCATGCCATTGCTTGTCATTGTTTGCCCAGGGCTGTCGTCATCGACCACTTTCAAGAGGGAAGGCACAAGATGCATTTAGACAAAGGATGTGATGGTGCTTAGTGGGGCTTATTTGTGTTGGGCAGGCTTGCAGTCAGGTTGCAGCCACAGGACTCACAGAAGCCTCACCAATGGCATGCTTGGCATTAGAACAGGCTCTGCATTCCCAATAGCTGGAACTCATGTTGTGACTGTGGAGAAATTGTTATCTCAGCTTCTTCACAGCCATCAAAAGCAACCCAGTGACTGGCACCCACAGCCTTGCTCTGTCTTACCTCAGCAAGATTCAACAAACATAAAACAATTCAGCTAGATTAGCAATAACATAAACCACTCACTGTGGGGGCTGGCTATCTTAAAGATGCTTCTATATGACTAATTCAGATAAGATATTCTCAATGGAAAAGGCTCACTATTCATAGAGAAGCGGAAATTAGTATTTGTTAAGAAAGAAACAAGTTTCATGGGTTACTGTCTGTTGAATGCTACGGCAGCGCAGACCTTTACACAGCTCAGCACTGACGATGGCTAACAGCTTGGGTGATTGTAGCAGCTGCCTGAGTGTGTGCTTCGTGGGAAGCGCAGTCTCGTGCAAGGTCGTAGGTAGAGCTCACCGCGTTACCTTCTCCTTGAGCCCTACCATGCTTAGCAAAAGCCTTCGCTTATTTTGAACGTCTTTTCTGTTATTTTTTTCCGTATTTTTCGTATTAATTTTTATCACTTGTATTTTACCTTCCAGACTAACATTTTAAGGTGAGACTCTGACTTCATCCAGTCTTGAGAAAACCTTTTAAAACCCCAAACTTAGTGAGTTAAGATGTTAAATTATGAAGAGCTCATTGTTTATGTTGGGCACCACAAAGAGAACCAACTGGAAGCAGAGGTCAGTGAAGGCGGGAGGCTCAGGCTCCCATCCAGCGGTGGAGAAGCCTCCGCTCACAGCCTACACTCACAGGAGGCCTTGAGGAAGTGGGTCTCATACTTCAGGGAGTGGTCAAAGGTGCTTGTGTTGCAATTAGCACCTGAAGATCAGGGGTCTGCCTGGGACAGGAGTCCTAGTAGCCAACATGTCTTCCTTGTCCCTCGCGCTGAAAAATAACGAAAGTGGCTAGGTGTGGTGGCTCACGCCTATAATCCTAGCACTTTGGGAGGCCAAGGCAGGAGAATCACTTGAGCCCAGAAGTCTAAGACTAGCTTAAGCAACATAGTAAGACCCCATCTTTACAAATAATAAAACAGATTAGCCAAGCATGGTGGTGCACGCCTGTGGTCCCAGCTACTCAGGAGGCTGAGGTGGGAGAATCTCTTGAGTCCTGGCATTCGGGGCTGCAGTGAGCCATGATCATACCACTGCACTCCAGCCTGGGTAACAAAGCAAGACCCTGACCCCCCCCCAAAAAAAAAAAAGAAAAAAAATTAAAATAACAGAGGTACACAGACAACTGTGTGTGTGCTCCCTCAGTGGTGTGAAGCAGTCTCTGGCCTGGGTGATAACATGAACCTGACCCCCACCCGCCATCCATCTGACTCCTCCAAACTCCTTTCCTCTGCTCTCAAGTGAGGTCTTAGACTAGATCATTTCTCAGTACTCTGCTATGCTCAGACTCACGTAAAGACCCTCAGCGGGCTGGTGCTGAATGGGTCTCCCATAGCCCCCACCCCATCTGGGTGAGGAGTTTGGTCACTGGAAAGCACTGGCAGCTCCTGCACCTTCCACCCCACAGCCAGGCTCTGCTCCCATGGCCACGTTTCCATCATGCGACTGTCCACGTTTCCATCATGAAATGGCCGTCCAAGAAAGCTGCTCAGTGTTGCTGGGTACAAAGGGTAAATGTCTCTTCCTCATAGCTTAGTGCTTAGAATCTTTATGAATAAACTGTTTATATGCACTATTCTTTTACTGAATATATGAGAGATTGAAATACAGATGTCAAAAAATGTTTGAGTAAAAAACCAATCCATTTGTTTAAGGGACAGTTCTAGCTGCGCTTGGCAGGAAACATTATCTCTGTCATAAGACTTTGGATGGAGGACTTCCTTTTCCCTTGGGACAGAACATGAACCCAGGGCTCAGGTGGTTCTGAAAATTGGCGAACAATGGCCTTCACTCAGTTAACATTGCCCACGGTCCAGCTGTCCATCCTGGGGCCTGATTCCACTCTGCCGGAGCCCTGCGTGGCGTCTGCCTGGCCTCCCGAACCACATCAGCAGCCCCATCTATTTCTGAGGCCTCCGTGTCAAGTGGAGTGCCAGTCTGAACTCCCGTAAAACCCACAGATGTGGGAGACTGGTCTTCCCAAGCCTTCAAACCCTGGAGAGCTCAACCCACTCCCACCCCATGACAGTCTCAGGGCAACAGAAGGGCGAGATCTTCTGGACCTAAAACCAGCTGACCTCCTGAGAGAGGAAGGGAAACACCTTTTGTTTTCTAATGACTAGCCTGCCATTAAGAAGGCAAGAAACCACTGCTTTTGCCATCAGCTGATCCTGCTGCATTTATACAGGAGATGGCTCAGAGACCCGGGTCTCTGGGTTTGGGAAGTTTCATCTGCTGCCTCTGGCAGCAGCGAACCACCCTGTGGGTGAGATGGTGTGGTTCTTCAGTGTGTCTGGGAGCAGAGGGCAGAGGCATTTTTTTGTATAATGCAGGAGTCACTGCATACATGGGAGGTGGAAACACAGATGTTGAGAAATCTCTAGACACACCTTTGAGTTGTGCTCCAGGGGAGGGTAATCGGATTGAGGGGAATCTGCTGGGGAACCTGCCAGAGAATCGTAAGCTACAGAGGAGGCTGGCAGGCTTCCGAGTCAGCCCGACCCTGGCTGGGGGCCCGGATCAGCACGGGGAGCTTGGCCACGTCACTGGACCGGCTTGAGCCTCACTTTCTTCCCTCTGAAAGTCAGAGATGTGTAATGGCGGCCAAATGGAGACAGACTGACCCAGTGTCAGCCTGTGTTGAATGCCCACAAAATGCCCCATCCAGGTCTGGGGTTGCCTCCACACTCCAGGCAGGTGAAACCCCTGCCCTTAGGGAGGTGAAATTCCAGTAGAAGAAAGCCAATGAACAACAGGAGCACGAAAATGAAGTGGGGCCTCAGCGGCTGCTCTGGGGAGGTTAGGAAGGAAGGTGAGGGAGTCCCAGGATGCCGCTGGAGGGCAGGGAGGGAGGCAGCAACAGACATGTGCGGGCCCAGCTTTCCTGACGGAGGGAGTCTAGCGTCAAAGTCTTGGCATATTTAAGGAAGCCAGTATCACCTGAGCTGGTGGAGCAAGGGCAAGAGG